TGAATCAAGATGTGATCATGTGGTAAGTGGTAATAAATTCAATCATAAAAAGGCATGTATGACAATTGCATTAAAAGAAAAGAACATGATTCCAATTTTAATTGGAATGTTGAACTACCAGCTGCAAACTACAACAGGTTAGGCATAATAAAAAAAAAAATGTTTGTTTACGGTTAACCCCCCCCTCCCCCCCCCCCCCCCCCCAATATCTAATAGCCAACCCAAATTTTTTTTTCGTTGTAAAAATCCATAAGTCACTCATTCATCAGTTTAACTTTTACATGCATCTTAATCTACCTACCAACCCTATTTTATTTCAGCATGTAACAGTAAACAAACATATTTTTTTGTTTGGCCTTATGAAATTGTATGGCTTGGAGTCTTTTTCACTTCTCTATAAAATTTTCTGTCTGGATGATGTCTAGCATAATATACACCATGCAGTGAGGATTTTAGTTCACCCGAGCTAAAAACTCGAGTGAACTTTTCTGATACCTTTTGTTTTGTCTTTTGTCCATCAAACTGTCGATCCATCAGTGAGCTTTTCACATTTTCAACTTCTTCTCAAGAACCACTAATTTTAACCAAGGTTGACACAAAGTAAGAATATTCTAAATTGTACAGAGGAAGCCCCCCCCCCCCCCCCTTCACCCCAAGGGGAAATGATCAACTCTTTCAGATATTATTGATATGATCATTGTTGAGCAACTTATAATTTTGTAACCTGTAGACTTTATTTTAAGAATAATGAATATTTGTTTAAGAGTCCTTTTGTCAAGGTTCAAAGTTCAATTAAAATTATTTTGTGATACATGTATTTGAGGATTCGAGATATCAGAAGTAAAATATTTAAAGAATACTTCCAAATTACTTCGACATATCTATGGTATTCAAGATGCCAAAGTTCAACTGTATGGCTATGCTAAAGTAGTAAATATTATAACTTACTAAAACTTTCTAACATTGAAATATGTTAAATGAAACAAGACAAAAATGAAAAATAAAAATTTACTGATTTCTGGCTGGTCAGTATTTTGATGACTGTAATTTCTAAAATATTCAGTGAAACACTTTGAAGCTTTAACTGTAGGTATATGTTAACTAAATATACTATAAGATAATATTTATAAATGAGAAGTTTTGAACAAACATTACAACATTCGTGTGTGTAAATTGGGGGTAAAAACTGGTTATCGGTAATGGCTATCGCCTTAATTTTCAATGACATAAAACAAGATTTAGAATGCAGGTAAATAATACTAGTATGTGACTATGTGTCTGTACATATAATATAGCATATAGAACTTGTACTGAATGTTGATTAGCTAAATCTTGAATGGCTGATATGTTGCTCGTTTTTGATGAAATTTAGATTATTTGTATGTAAACTGAGTGTACATGCAATATGAAATTATTCATAAGGTATTAAACATGATTAAAACATGTGTATGTAATGCAACATATGATGAATTCATATTGACTTGTATGGATATAGCTTAACATGTATGTGCATTGTTTTTTTAGGGTCCTGTTCTGCAGATGCCATGAGATGATCTGTCTGTCCATCTGATATCACTTGTCCTGAGTATATTTTTTCTCCTCTTAGCCCAATCTCACTCAAATTTAACTCATAGAGTGCCTGTGGATGGAGGGTAAAAAGTGACCTTGGACCAATTATCAAGGTCAAAGGTCAGTATCAAAACACACTATATATCTTTATTTAAAGTCCTTGTCCAGAGCATAATTTTTCTCCCTTGGTATGATCTTGCTTGTGTGCCATGGGATGAAGGGTTTTTAGTGATCTTTAACAAAATTTCTAGGTCAAATGTCAATAAGAAAAAAAAAAAAGATTCGTAATATCCTTGTCCAGAGCACATTTCTCTCAATTCACTCAACTAAAAGCAGTGTTCTACATGTATGAGATGGTCATATTCTCTATCTTACCTGCTTTAATATTAATCTGGCTTAAAACCTTACTATGTAATGTTCATTATTCGGATTTCATGTCATTAAATTTAAAGACTGAAACTAATTATAATCACTGATATTGGAACATTAAAGGACATTGAGTGATCTTGTAAGATTTCTAAATAATATTCAAGCATACAATTCTTACATCAAATAATAATTTTATATGAAAATATATTGCAGATCGCAGATGATGTGAAGAAAATACAAAGGAAGCTGATGTTGAAAGAAGTATAGAGTATTTAAAGAAGTTTTTATGAATGGACTTAGATGTGAAAGATTACTTCATTGTGTACCAAGATATATGATTTTATTTATTTTGATATCATTTTCAAATAATGTTTTTGCACATCAAATGAATTATTAAACATATGATTTGATAATGCTTTTTCCTTTTTATACATTTAAAAATTTCTTGATAGATTTTGAAAAGAAAACACAGTTTACCAAGGAAATTAATAATATATTTTGATTTAAACCTGCTGTTCTCTTTTCACATTCTAGACAAGAAAGATTAACCATGGAAAATACAGGGATCCTTGAGCTTCCAGTTGCTTGTCAATCATTTTTTTGAAATTGAAATGCTCAACCTACCCTGTAGTTTCCATGGTATGGAAACTATTACACCACAATTACACATTGCTTCCCGTCTCAGAAAAATAAGGGAATCTTGAAGTTTCCCTGTAATTTCCTTTTATGAGACACCAGATAATTCCACCAAGTTTCCATCACACGGAAACCGCTACGCTCCAATTCCATATAGTTTCCTGAGTCATGGAAACTTGAGGAATCACGAGGTTTCCTCTAGTTTCCGTTCATGGGAAATATGAGGATTCCATCAAGTTTCCATTCCATGGAAACCAGTACGCTCTGATTCCACATAGTTTCCTAATTATGGAAACCAGTGGAATCTTCAGGTTTCCCATTACGGGAAACTACATGGAGGCTCAGGAAACTTCAGGTTTCCTGAGGATTCCGTGGTTCGGGATACCTTATGGAATCGGAGCGTAGTAGTTTCCGTGGTATGGAAACTTGACGGAATAACCTGGCATCCGCTGCGGAAACCACTAGGAAACATAATGTAAACATGAGGTTTCCATGTGGTTTCCATATAGTTTCCCATGACAGGAAACTGCTTATTTCACCCAGTGACAGGATTCAAAAAGGTAATGTACAATTAGCTGCTGTGCAAGATTGATTTATCAACCATTAAAGAGTTTATTTTTAAATATGATATTTTTTTTTTTTAAAAATCACCTTTTTGATAAAATGATTGCGATTCATTTTTGTGTCTATGTTGAAATACATTATTTTATAGAAACGCATAATTTTTCTCAGATCTTAAATTCTTTTGGATTTCTAGATACATGGCACAATAATCGTGTTGCAGGGTTTAAAAAAAGAAAATATTGATTCCAAGATTTATGAAATCTTTGAAATGCAAATAGCAGCAGATGATATTTCACTGACGTATCAAATGTATTTTAGACAGCAAGACCTAGGTTGGGCTTATATTTTTCGAATTTACACTCGTAGATCACGCATTGCTGCTTACAACAGAGCAACCGGAAGGTTTATCAAACAAACTTTGACGAATGTAACGAAAAACCTGACGTGATTAAAACACGGCGTATGTCTGCCAACAGAGGACGAAAGATATACATGTAGTTGTGACGAGGGGTTTACAGGTAGTTAGTTTTTCATTAAAATTAATTGCATCATTATTTAATTATAATTAAAATGCTAGTACTATTATATTTAAGAAAATATTACCGAAGATAAAAAATGGACACATTTTATTGGTAGAAAAAAAGAAATTTATGAAAGTTAAAGTTTGTCATATTTCTTTCTTTTTTTTTTAAAGCAGATGTCGAAAAATAGGTGATATTTATGAAACAAATGGATCTATTTAGGTCGTTATTTCGTAAGCTTCCATTTCATCTCACAAATACGATTGACACTATGAACACCTTCCAAATGTTCCATTTCACAAATATCTCACTCTTTGATGCAAAACAATTAATAACAATGGTCTCAATCGCGTAAATCGCAAATGTATTTTTATAGATTCATATGTGTGCTATGTATGTGTGAGAGAAAAAGATATGAATTGTTCGATGATATCCGATTTCCTACTAATTGCAAGTCTTGACGTCAGACCTTATTTTTCTGATTCTGTGTTTTTCCCCATTATCAACCAGGTTGTTTTGTCAATCGAAATGGTGTGATTTGGCCTTTTGTGAACTGGGTAAACGTATTCCATCTAACGTGGGTTTCAGTTGTGTTTGTGAAGACTCTCTATGGGGGCCATATTGTAATCTTTCCCGCCACGACTGTTCGCAGACGATCAGTACTTGAGGAAGGACTTGTTTCGGGAACGATTCCTGGAATCCGGCTTGTGAGTGTCACTTTCCATACAAAGGTGAAAAAAGAGCAATTTTAGAAGTTAATATAATTTCTATAACTTTTTTGTGTGATTGCATTTGATAGAAATATTTTTTATATCATCTACCTACAAACATATGTTTTTTTTCCCGAAAAGTGTTCACTTACCTCTATGATACTTCAAAATATTGTTGAAGACTTTTACCCTTCATATCAAAGTTAAGAAATTAAACCTATACATGTAGTATTGTTGCATAAATGAAAAATTCAGAGAAAAATTGATATGAAACAGTAATTTCTTTTAATTTCACTCCACACAACTTTAATATAAGTCTTCAGCTAAATTTGATCAATTTAATAAATAGAAAGATTGATTAACAGCACAAAGGATAATGATCATTGTTTAAGAAATGTTGATGATACACAATGCTTACGTTTACCATACAATACGTCAGATGTCTATACAAGAACGACGAAGCAGTACTTATCGTTTTGCATGATGCAGAGTATCAACGCACCTAAAACTACTTGTCAAAATACATTTACCTGAGAGTGGTTATTGATTTTTATACATGTTGGTTAGGCTATAATATTAATGCGAATAAATCCTCCTCATTTCTATCCCCGTTGCAGGAAAGGATTGTTCTATGAATTCAAACAACAATGCAAAATTCACTACCGTTGGACAAAAGTTATTAAAAGAGCCAATATGGATAGGAATGATTGTGGTGTTTAATTTGTTAATTATATTTGGAATATCCTATATCATTAAGAAGAAGTGCGCAAAGTACTTGATCTGCTGCAAGGACACAAAGGACATCCTTCGAGAACGAGAGGGTGAGTAGATTTATCATCATAATTATAAATCATATGTTATTAAGTAATTTGAAACTATATTATTAATAAAATTCGATTATAGCTAGATGTTTGTTTTCCTATCTTGTAAGTCTACGGACATTATACTGAAACAAAAACCTTTTTATGTGAATTAAAATATTGGTTATGTTTTCTTTTCTTTTTCTTGTTCAACATAAAATTTTATTACATGCTACCATATTACATGATAGCTTAAATGAAACTCAAAGGATTTTTACATTATAATCTAAGTAACAATATCGATCTCTTCATCATAACACTTCTCTAGCTCTCTATTCCATTTTTATTGTGGCAAAAATTCACTGGATTTCAGTTTACAATATATATATCTTCCTTTTTTAGACGAGATACCAGCTCATTGTAACAACCCCTTGTCTACATCACCTCCCCTCAGTCTTCAGGCCTCTGTAGTCATCAAAGAAAATACTGATTGTATTCCTGCTAAGAACTTGGTGAGCACTCCCCTTCTCTCTCTCTCTTTGAAACTTTTTTAGTTCCGACCTTAACCCCATTTTTAATTTAAGTTTTCGGTTTTTTCCCATTATTGCACACTTTGATTCTATTATACAATATACCTACCGTTATTTTTAATAACACCATGTTTCTTTATCCTAAGATGAGAATACATAAATCATTTTCATGATTCGAAGTAGATATTGAGAAAGAATTTTAACTTTTAGGCTTTGGATATTTCTGATTATGTCCCAGAAAGCTCTACAACAACTCCAATAAATTTGACACCCAAGGTGGATATGACGAACAAGAAGGCTGCAGCTAAATTGTTCGCTTCCTACGATAAACACTTAACGTTTCCATTCGACGCTCATAACCTTCCTAGTGGAATACATCCTGTTGGGGGACTGAAATCTGGTGTGCTAGAATTTAATCCCTCTGAAAAAGAAGATAATGCTGAAGATAATTTCGTGCTTCAGTCTCCACCTTTACCTAATGAATACCGTAAACTGAGATACAGTCAGACGACAACAGTCTTGGATAGGAAAAGTGACCGACAGTCCGACGATTTCTCAAATCATGTGATACGATCAAAATCTCTTTCGCCAGGAATTTTGCAGGAGAGACATCAATACCCCAGAATAGTAATAATCAATGAAAACGTCCAAAACCCGGGTGGATTTAATGGACAAGATCATGTTTTCACAATATCTAGCCAAGATAAATGCAGACGGTCATCTTTCACTGATATGAAGGCCGCAGATAAACGAAGAATTTTCTCAAACAGTAAAAGTTCATTTCAAGAGAGAAGTGTTGTACCGGGTAAAAATGTTCGGCGGTCAAATAGTAACCGAGAGGTGTTGATCCTGTCGCAAAGCGACAACAACTACAGTTCTGACGCAATTGTAAACTCTTTAGATATTGATATCGTACACTCTCAACCAAAAACAGGCTTATCAAGAAAGGAGAGAAAATTATCTTCATCTGATACTAAAGTATGTGCAAAAGCATATCAATCAAGTGGTCAAACCGACGATTTAATGACTTCTTCCTTTGTCATCGAAAACAAGAAAAATAAATCGATATGTAGTCGAAAGTACCATATTCGAATTGTTAAAAGGAGTAATCGCTCTCGACAAAATGGACGCACGCGTTCACGAGACACTTCATGTGAGTGCTCTTGTGCATCTGGAGATGCTTTATATACCAACATATCTGGAAAAAAGAGACATAAGAAAAGAACAAAGAAAAGGGTGGAAGTTACTGATTCCAGCAGCGATAGAGAGGATTTTTATCAGCACCCTTTGCGAAAATCTAAAAGAAATGATTTAACTTTCCCATCTCCAATACTTGGATGGACAGTTGAACAAACTCAAGCCAGCGTAGAAAAAGGCAACGAAGCGTTATCGTTTATGCAATCCTCATTCCAATCTCGTTTGAGGAAACCTGACGATTTTCTTGATATCAAAGAAACGGAAACTTTATTTTACAATAATGAAAATGTCAGTCTTTCAAGTTCAAATCCCAGTGAAATTGACGATCCATTCGTAAAAGGTAGTGTGGAAGATACAGAAAGACACTCTATTCCTCCTACGGACACAGATACGGGATTTTCTTCGTCATCAAAAAGTTTATATACATCTCCCTGGAAGGATGGTGGAATAGTGTCTATGTACTCGGGTACCGAACATGTTCGAACACGACCCACAGACATCAACTGTCCAAAACAAAGGATTAGGTCCACTAATTCAGTAAACAGTGGTAAAGTCAAGGATTCTGCTTATGAAACAAGACAGACATCAATAGACACCATGTCCTTTGAAAAAAACAATGAAAAACCATACGAAAACTGGATCAAAAGGTATGAATGTGAATGTATGAAGGTTAAGCTAAATACATGTAATTATACAAATACCAATTTTAAAGAAAGGGAAAAAACTGAGATTATATGACACAAATATCACTTTTACTTGGACTTCCTTTACATTGGAAGGAAAACAAATACACAGTAGCAGATTAATTTATTTTTCAGGTATGAAGATCGAAAAATTACAAAGCAGCTTGAACAAGTGTCTTTTAAATTATCAATGCTACGAAACAAGAGATATTGTACACATGATCAGTCCAAAGACAGTGCTTTCGTCACTGTGTCTGATGAGGATCTGGGCAACTGGGACTCCGATAGCTCTGGAAGGTGAGTCTTGTACAGATTCTTTCCCCAAATGTATTAACCACAGACTAATCTCAATATTTTATTAAAGTAAGTTGAGACCACAGACTAATCTCAATATTTTAAGTAAGTTGAGATGCATTGAAAATTGATGTCTCCATTTGCAGAAGATCAAGTTATCCAGGCATTATCAACAAAGCCTTTACCTTGGAACAAGTTTCCGAGGAAGGAGATATTGCCAATACACCTGATCAGATAGCTGTTGGAGAGCAACCAAACACTAAATGCGCCTTTATCAGTGCAGCTCGCCAATATAACGAAGCCTCGATGATAAAGGAAGATATAGAAATGGTGGAATTTATGGTGTGACATCTGTGATTTTTTAGTTGAAAAACAGTTAACAAAAATAAATTTGATAGGGTATCATGCACTAGATTTATTTTTCATACAATGTTGATTTTCATACACGTTTTATTTATTGTGCAAAGAAATAATAGAAAATAGTGTGAGACTACTAGTTATTTTTATTTGGTCCTGATCTGATGGTAAGAGGTCAAATCACTTATCTTCGTTGGGGTTTCATTTTCGTTGTTTTCGTGGAGTGAAGAGACCCACGAATTGATATCATCAACGAAATGTAAATTTTTGAATCCATAATTATAACGCAGTGTTTCTTCACCAACGAAATCAAATACACTTGAACCAATATTTTTTCCTCAAACTACGAAAATTTGACCCCACGAAAATATGTGATTTTGCAATATTTGTGTCAATCAGTTTGGTTGTCTCTCTGTCTTCGGTCCTCATTATCAGGACTGTAATTCAAATTCATTATGTTCACTTAGATACTAGGGTCTTTCAATAAGTAATGCAACATACGGTTTGTCATAATAAATGTAGCACTTAGTTTTATTTTTTCACAGTCGAGAAGTACTATTTAAGATCTCATAATCACTGAAACCGCTTGCTTTTTCCAACAGACTTCGGAAAGAAACTCACTTTTAAGCACGGTCACTACACTAAGCTGAAAACTGTTTGAAAATGATCACTGCCAAAAAGATGAAAATAAGAGCGCATGTAAAAACCACGCTACAATAAAAAAAATTGAGGTAGAACCAATATGAAAGATGTGGTTTTGATATCTGGAAAGACAAGCCTTTCACACAGTACACAGTTTCACACAGATGGATTAAGAAATCCAAATATGGAAAAGGAGTGTTACAAGATCGTAGTTGAACTGGTTGATCAAAATCTGTAGGAACACCAAAAAAAGAGTCAATGCTGTGAGCAACATGATATCTGTAAATGCTATATTAACAATGAAAGACGTTTCTAAGACACTTAACATTTCATTCTCACAATTTATAGAGTTCTGAGAAAGGAAATATTAATCTAAAATATTTTTATATCAGATGGGTGCCTTATTTCCTTACAGATACCTAAGAGAAGACATGCGTCAAGTGTGACAATAGTCTATTTAAAAATAAACATGTTTACAAAAGAAGGTATGATAAACTTGGGTGATGGGTGTTAAAACATCGGGGCATTTTTTATTGCATAAATGGAAGAACAATAATGAAAAATGGCGAGAAAAGGCTGTCGTCTTGTTATTGCAAAGAGAAGCAAGAGCTCCAAACAAAGTCTTAATTATACAGTTTTTTTTCTTTAGTCAGGAGTTCCGATAGTAAGCGAACCTGCACCCAAAGGACAATCAATTGTAGATTTTATGAAAAAAGTGCATTGAGGAAAGTTCAGCAGCTTTTCTGTTAGGGAAGTCCAAATACCGCACCCCAAATTAATTTTATTGTGTCTGACAACGCATCTGCAAATAAGCATGGAGATATACATGAAATTTTTAAGAAAGGAAACGTCAACAGAGCTTAACCATCTTCGTATTCGTTAGATCTTAGTCTTTGCGAGATCTTCTTACTGTGGAATCATTTAAATTCGTGGGGATCAATGCTCGTGGGTAAGCAAAATTTTGTTGGTTCGTGCGGACCTAATTTCATGGGTAACTCAAAATAGCTGTACGTGGGGATGTAAATTCGTGGGTTAGGGTGACCCACGAATATTGGTCCCCCACGAACATCGATGATTCCACTGTATTCCAAAATCTCAAGAAAACAATCAAAGGAATAATTTACAATTAATTTTAGATATGTCATTATTAGTGTCTTTTGAGCATCCCTAAAAAGAGTATGCTGAGGTGTTCTGATCATGGGTACAGAAACTTTTGACATGTGTAAAGGTCAACAGGAAATATTTTGGGGGATAAAAAATATAAAGAAACTGCTTTTTGGGTTTTTAAAAAATTTTATTCGCATTTTGAATTACTTTTTCAACGACTCTCGTATTGTTTATCGGGCTGGAGGACGTGCATGTAATACAAACAAAGATTACACGATCACAAGCTATGGTCAAAACTGTTTATTTGAGCTTAAAAAAGCTATTAGCTCATCTGAGCCAAAGGCTCAAGTGAATATTTCTGATCAACATTTGTCCGTCATTCTTCTGACGTCTGTTACCTTTTCAAATGTTCTGCATCTTCTCCCAAACAAATGGATGAGTTCGCTTAAAACATCATTGGGTGACGGGGTATATTAATTTTTTTTCAAATGAAGCGTCGCCCCCTCTTTCAAGGGAAGATTTTTTTTTGTTTATTTAACGTCCCTGTACTCGGCACTTACGGCCTTTAAGCAGTAATGGATCTTTTTTGTGCCAGCACCTATTGCGACACGAGATCTCGGTTTAAACGGTCTCAACCGAAGGACCGGACTCCATGTCCCGCAATGGGGTAAGAACCTGCGACATAAGGGTCAACTCCTAGCTCCGCGACTTTAGAGCAAAAGCTCCAGATAACCACTGCGCCACGCGAGCGACTCGAGGGAAGATCAATTAGAACTAGTGAAAATTTGGTGGCGTCGTTTAAAAACCCATTTCTCAAAAAATCATTGGTTCAGAAAAAAAAAATTACTGTGAATACTTTCTTTGAGCTTAAATTAAGTTTTTTTTTCTTAAATTCGTGGTCCTGGGATAAGGGTGGGTCGGTAGGACCACAATAGGGGATCAAAGTTTTTCATGGGAATATATAAGGGAAAATCTTTGTCGACCTTTCAGGTAATAATTATCATGATAATGAACTCGGTATCTTGTTATTAAAGTCGGTTTATGCCACTAGCTGAGATCTACTTTTCAAACTATCTGACAAGTTGATATGCGTGCCCAACAGGTAACATAATTATCTTAAAATCGACATAAATTCCTGACAAGTTTACAGCATTTTCTGTCAAATCAACATACGATAATGTTCAGACTAGTCGACATCATTTATCTGACAAGTTGACGTGTTGAATATTTGTCTGACACTCATAATTATCTGAGAAGAAAACATAAGTTAGTTAATATTTAATTTATCAAGTCAACTTGCCAGGTAATATTGATTGATTGATTGTATGTTGTTTAACTTCCCATTCGAGAATTTTTCACTCATATAGAGACGTCACCATATACCGGTGAAGGGCTTCAAATTTTGACCTTTACTCGGCACTAAGGGCCATTGAGCAGTGAGGGATCTTTTTTGTGCCAACGCCTGCCGTGATACGGGGCCTCGGTTTTTCAGGTCTCATCCGAAGGACCCGCAACTTTCACTTCAAAGTGCCGAGCGCATGGCGAAGGAACAGTTGCTACCCATTTTTTATCGACTTAGGTCAGTCGCGGCCGAGATTCGAACTCACGACCTCCCGATCACGGAGCGAGCGCTCTACTGCCAGGTAATAAAGTCGACTTATCAAATGTTATATCGACGATTCAGAAAATGATGTCGACTTGTTAGATCTTTATGTAAACTTGTCAGATCCTTTTGCAACTTAACCAGATAAATATTTTGTCAACTTGACGGAACTTACGGAAGCGTATTGGTGTCCACACTTGTGTTATAACTTGTACAGTGTCTTATAGTTATCACTGTGTTATCAACATAAAAAGTATTTTATTATACCTCTATTAAGAATACTCAAATTTGATTGGCTTGTTAGAAGGCTTTTAAACTCAATAATGACTCCAAAAAGTACCGTTTACAGCAATAATGACCTAGGAATCATTGCACGTGGGGTATAATGACCCGGTCATTATAAATAATGACCGCTAAAAATGACTTGTTAATCTAAATTCTATTCAAATTGAAAATTTCTGCATACAGTAATGATTGTTCATTACAAAAATTGCCGTGATAAAAATATGTATAATCTTTTTATGATAAGGAATACGATTGACTTTTAGATGCGTTATAAAAATTTATCGTTTTCATTGAAACTTTTGTTACAATGTCAAATTCAACGAATGCAGACTCGGCTCTTTTGTACAGTAAAAGTCTGCACCAGATTGTCATTGTACTCGGGAATGGTATTTATGAATTTATAAAAATGCATGTTACTGACAATCACAGTGTTTTAATAAATCGGCGGTGCAAAAACTTACAAGACTTGCTGTATTAGATACTCAGATGCCCGCCAAAGCGGTATTTGCAGGCGAAAAGTAAACAACTTCACTAGCGAATCCCGATCCCGATGGAACACTGATAATAACAGTTCGTACATGAAGGTCTAATACATAATATTGATTCTTTTAGTAATTAAGCCTACAAAAATTGTCTTAACATATAAAAATGCATGTTACTGACAATCACAGAGTGTTTTAATAAATCGGCGGTGCAAAAACTTACAAGACTTGCTGTATTAGATACTCAGATGCCCGCTAAAGCGGTATTTGCAGGCGAAAAGTAAACAACTTCACTAGCGAATCCCGATCCCGATGGAACACTGATAATAACAGTTCGTACATGAAGGTCTAATACACAATATTGATTCTTTCAGTAATTAAGCCTACAAAAATTGTCTTAACATATATCGGTATAATAAAACAATTGATTACCCCTTATGAGATCAACATGGTGAAATAAGGACCCGAGACCTGGCCCACGAGGTGACCAGACCTGACCGAGGCCGCGTAGCGGCCGAGGTCAGGTCAGGTCAGCGAGTGGGCCAGGTCGAGGGGGTAATTAATTGTATAATAACTCCACATAGATGCACATACTTTGAATTGTATCTAGGTGTTTGAACATAATTTAAAGAATCTTTTATTTGATTGTTTTTAAATATTGCTATAAGTTATATCGACTTAAAAAAATATTGATTTAAAAAATATTGATCAAAGCAAGAGCTTTAATTAAATCGATATGTTAATTAAAAATATGGCAATAAATATATATTTATATCGATATACATGTAAATATATAAATGCACAACTGTACCGTTTTCGTTATTTTAGTCTTTGACCATAACAACTAAAATATAAAACAATAACGCTACAGT